TTCTCTTCTGTTGTCTTACATTTTAAATATTACGTCTTCAGGGATGATGGAGGGCAAAATCAAATAAAAATGTGATTTTTCAATTTTCATAGCACAGTATTCAAGCATTACTGACAAGTGCTTTCACGAAGTGACACGTTTTTAAGAGCAGTGAAAAACATTAAAAAAGGCCCCAAACGCACCTGATCCTGCGTCTGCATTGCATCAACTCTAATTTGAAATGGCGTTTCCTCCAAACGCTACTTTTCGTCAGAAACAGAACATTTTCTCTGTAACCACTTTAGCTATTAAGTGCGAACATTTATGACTTCTTTCTGAATAGCGAGCTCCCATTCTGAAGCAAAATAATAACATTGTCAGAAGAATAGTGTTTTCACAAATGTTCTTTAAAGCCCTAAAATTTTAGTCATCAAACATCTAAGTTTTTAGCTAAGAAATGGTCATGCCTATAATTATTATCTTGATTGAGAAGGACACCCAAGGAACTCATAATAACCAGATTTCACTATTTTGCATGAAGAGTCTTCTTCAGAAATGTTCCTTTAAAAAAAGAGAATAGTAAAATGATATATTTTTCATTATTTTTAGAATGGGTATGTATTTTCTTACTAAATTCACAAGACAAATAGTAAGATCTCCATTCAAGCTACTTGCAAAATTTTGTGTGTGCTTTAGAAATAACCGAGTGATAAGCAGTGGGTGTTGCACACCTGTCTTTGCTGTCCATCCCGCCTTGAAGTGAAGGAAAAACACAATACTGCAAAGCACAAAACTCGAAATGAAACGCTACGAGACAGGCAGGAGAAGAAACGTTGGCCTCTTGCTCTCTCCATTAAAGCTTTGCCCTATATTAATGTGTGCCACAGTCCGTATCGACTCACCTCCAGAAAGATAATCACGGAGCGAAAGGGAGATAGCCAAGAAACTAAACCACAAATGAAAGAATTGGATGTGGTCACGTAGAATGCTGTTTCAGTCATGATTCAAGTAAAGCATGCTGGGAGGCCAGTAAGTACGACATTGAAACTGAAACAAAACTGCACGTGGGATGGAACACAAGTAGAAATAGAAGTGAAATAAACCTGCACGCATCCTGTCAACTAGTTCCACTTACGTTCTATCACCTGTGCACTTTTATTTCAGTTTCAACCATGATTGTTGACGTAACGCTGGTTTAGTGAACCCAGCACAGTTTGATTCAAACAGGTGCAGAATTCGGCTCTTTCTTTATTCAAAATCGATTTTTTTTCAGTCCACATTAGAATTGGAAATTGCTCCATTTCGATTACATCCGTTTTAGAAGTCAAAGACACTTAGGCGTGCAGCGCGCTTTTACGAACTTGGCTTTCAAAAGAAAAAAAACTCCTCCAGTGTTTTCTTTGGCACCATTAAGCAACACACTGGTACAACCCCAGCACCCACATGAAAAAAAGAGTGATTCTGAAGAGAGGCTACAGACATATGGCCCTCTGGGAAGCACACTTCAATCCTCTGCAGAAGGAGACTCAAAGATAAGACAGAAGACCATAACAACTGAAGGACCCAAAGCATTACACATCAGAAAAGGTACAAAGCAATTGGGGACATTTTAAAGCAGCCAAATATTTGCCTCCATATGCTTCTTAAGAATGACACTTTAATGTAGTCCAGCTGTGTCAGCCTGTATTTGGCATGAGATAAATTAGCGCAAAATAACAACCTATAAACACAAGAAAGAAGATAAAGACATTTGCTTCGTCTTCTATCTTGTGTTCACCGGTTTTTAATTTGTGCTAATTTGTCTGAGCCCGTTTATGCATGACCAACTAGCCCAACAATTCTTTTACACCGCCTACGGTGAACTTGCAAAGGTGACATTAGTACAAGATCTCTCACATTTTACAATATTAGTGGACAAAAATCTCAATATGTTCGTGCATAAGCTGAGCGTATTGGTTCACGCAGCCTGTAGATGCAAAGCAAAAAGCACAGAACTTCGAGGTCTAATTACCTGCAATGTGCTGCATACACCAATTGTCATTTACCACTGTGTGGCTGTAGAAGTAGCAGCTACACACAAGCATTGGAGTTTCGACAAACAGAGACAAACATGTACGCATGCTGCACCATCTATATCCACCCATCTTCCATTATTTGTCCATGCTTCTTTCATACTTACGTTTGCAAGAGTAGGCAGTAGTCGTCAAATAAACAGTATGCAAGAGAATCTGTAGCCATTGTGCTTAAAGGAGCACAAAGAAGAAAAATAGTTCAAGCTGTATTAGTAGATTACCATTATAAAATACCCAATCATAATAAGCATCCAAAATGTAATTATTACAGTTTCTTCAAGTACTACTGCATCAATACTTGGACCAAAAGGCAGTAAACCCACTTTTTGATGAATAAAATGCTTAGAGGCGTGCATAATTTGGTATGAACATATTAGAGAACTTTAGTTTGTACTTATACTGGCTTTTACAATATGGATAACCTTGCACGTGATGTCGCAATTTCAGCCTCATGAAGCTGGTTCTTCAAAATGATGGCCTTGATGTTGTAGAGGCAGCATAAAATCACATTAAGTTTAACCTGCTTCAACATGATAATAATGCGAGCAGAATTTTATTGGCCATCGTGCGTCACTAACAAGATAACTTGCAAGTGATGTAATAATAATATCGGTGTCACACGAGCACGTTTAATCGCGATCAGGGTGATCCGGATCAGATTTCTTGATCATGATCAACTTTATGACTGCTGCTACACGACCCAAGCCGGTTCGAGCTTTGGTCAAATTAAATGTGCCAGGTGGCGATTGCGTGCCATAAAGCATGTCATTGAAAAACGTAAGGGTACGAGATTTCTACAGAGCCCTTTATCAGCAATGTTACTTGTGCAAGAACCGCTCGAATGTTAAAAACTTTGCGTGCCACTACATGAGCAATTTAATAAGTCCATCATTCCATGGAGTTTCTCTTGTACTTGCCTGTATTGCTTTGAGAGATTATTATTCTTCTCCTTTATTTCTGATGGCCCCGTTCATAGCTATCCAGTCACAGCGAAGCGTCAATCTCATGGGTGCCAGAGCTTCACTTCTGGTGCCTGAGGTCTTTGAGTCGCCCCTGTCAATTACTGGAAAGGTCTCTTCATTTGCCCAAGAAATGAGTGTACGTTGCGACGTTGTCAAAAGGCTTGTGACGCTCATAATCAGTTTGCTTCGAGGTGCTCCAACTGCTACGACGGTGCTAGAGTTGAACTAAGCACGGAAGACAACAGTCGTCTGCTTATCGTCTGCTTTTTCCCATAACTACATGCAGTCAATACGAATCTCAACACATGCGATATTTCAGTTATAGTCCCAGTTTAAGCAGTTTATAATTTACTTTTTTATAAACTTCTAGCTGTTTTAATGTGCTTTCAATAAACTATGCTCGATTTTCTTGTTTCTTTTGCTTTCAACAAGCTCTGCCAGAGGCTGCAGACGACAGGAGATTGCAATTCCTCAGCCAGATCACGATGTGCGTATCGCGATAGTCTTGATCTCGATCACGCTTGATCCTGATTAAAAGTGACGGTATAGCAGCACCTAATCCGGATCGACACTGATCGATATTAAAAGTGTCCATGTGACACCGGTATAACATTAGCACTTGACGCCAGAAACCTTGCGTGTGTCTAGTAACTAAGGTACTCGGCTGCTAACCCGCAGGTCGCGGGATCGAATCCCGGCTGTGGCGGCTGCATTTCCGATGGAGGCGGAAATGTTGTAGGCCCGTGTACTCAGATTTGGGTGCACGTTAAAGAACCCCAGGTTGTCAAAATTTCCGGAGCCCTCCACTACGGCGTCTCTCATAATCAAATGGTGGTTTCGGGAAGTTAAACCCCACAAATCAAAACCTTGCGTGTGCCATGTTGTGCCCCAACATGTTCGTTTCAGGGACGTCAGAGCAAGTCATCTATACAGGATTGCTAGAGTAAATACCACATTTCCACATTTGCCAAATGCAAGTCACAATGGAGTTGCAAGTGGTGCTCTCAATCGTGTCAAGCTTTGCTGTCTTTGAATCTCAGTGTTGTCATCTCTGTTTACATGGGCTAAGCAAAGGAGTGAATTTTTAAGTGATAAATTCAGCCCAGGTCATACCCGATTGCAATTCCAAGTGCACAACATGATACTGGCAGTAGTCCCAAGCAGCCAGAGGCGTAGACGGCAGCAGCAATTCTTGTAAGGGCCCAGCGTATTCGAAATGATTTGCCGGTCAGCGTATGATGGATAAATAAATGTCTCGTAAAATCTCTTAAATACCAATTTTCAACAAATCGTGCTGACGTGCTAAGGCACTGTGATGTTTGGACGAAACGGCATACCGGAGTGCATTGGTGCGATTTCCTCAAGGTGTTCACAAAAGAAAGCTGTACACAGAGCATCGACAACTGTTGTGCGAAATGGCTGCACAATTTCCAACTGAATGAATATTGTAGCTTTGTATACAGGCTTTACACAAAGTTTAATATCATATTTAATATCGTTGCCCACTGCAATAATGACTGTGGCACCAGTGATTAAACTCCGTGACACCACATGGCACCACGAACGCAAGAGCCTCACGTCTAGGTATTAAAAAGCTTTAATTAGGAGTGTGGCAGCTTGGGCTACTTGGTTTGACATGACGATAGTTATAGCGCGAGAACAGAACGACGACACAGAGACAAGGACAAGAAGTCCTTCGTACCTTGTTTATGTGTCGTCATTCTGTTCTCGCGCTATAACTATCGTTAATTAGGAGGCCGTGAATAGCTCATCGCTTATTCCGATACGACTTCTTCAGAAAGCTGTCTCTCAGCTCCGCACACACCCAATACGTGTGCTGCGACAGTTTCTGGAATGCGCGTGCCATTTCCAACATAAACGGAGCCAAACCAGTTCTCAGTGAAGATGAAACCAAAACGCGCGATGCGTGGATGGGCAATGTGATACCCCCATCAGCAGTATAGACGGAGAAATTCCAACGACGTACCAAAAACCACTTCGGAGATACGTGCCGCCGTCTGGCACGGGAATGCTGCCGCGACTGCCATCCTGCGGAGAAGACGACCGGCGCGTTTTGGGGATCTGCAAGGAATCCATTTATACCTCATGAAGTAGCGTGTCGAGGATATTCTGCAGCTAAAGCAACGGCGTTTCGCTGTAACTGCGAATGAGAAGCACTGGATCAGCTCAAGAAAAGCAGTGTTATTGGTGAGAAACACAGTAAAAAAAAGGCACGACAGTGATGCCATGTGAACATTAGGAGCTACGAATGCGGATTTACATCCGTCGCGTGCGGAAAATGTGCGTACCGTATCAAGGAGTTATCGCAAAAGTTGAACCACGTTTCGAGTGACGATAACGCTTTCAGTACTCACCTTTTAAAACTCACGCACTCGCGCCCGTAGGGTCCATGGTCGCAAGAAAGCCCGCGCTTTTCTCCCTTTTGAAACTTTTCCGTGAGGGCGCGCTTCTGTGGACCCAATGAAAAGCAACATAGATGGCGACACCTATGAAACAAGACCGTCACGACTCTGGAGCGCCTCGGAGCTACGCTCCGTTTGTGGCGTTCGGTGTTTCTTTTCTTCGTATTCTGCGAGGCTCGTAAGCGGGAGGAAGGCGCCTTCGAGCTTTGAAAAAAAGAAAGAAAGACGACGTCGCCCGCTTAGCTGCCGGTATTTGCATAAACCACTTGATCGTTAGACACAACCCCGGTGTCTTGTTTGTGTTGTATTTTGGCATCAGTGGGTTATCATGACTGTTCCGTAGTGGTGAGCGATCGTGGTTGGAAGTGGCACGAGAGTCGGCCGTGTGGATATTTTGCGCGTGTGGACCCGGCAACAGCTTTTAGCTGGGGGCGCCGATTCGGGCCGCACAAGCCGCTGGAAACTTCGTCGCAAGAACCTCTGTGCAGTCCGGCCGAAGCCGTAAGTGGCACTTCTTTATTTTCCCCTCGCGGAAGTGGATTTGTCAGTAGTGGGAAGCGCCGCTCTGTACCGCCACCACCGACCGCATTTCTGGAGGGGGCCCATCTTGAAGCCGTGGCTGTAGCTGCGTGTTCTCTTGCCCAACGGTCGGTGGGAGTGTGTGGGCATGTAGGAGGCCTGCTCGATGCATCCCGTGTGTCTACGGCATGCTAAGCAACGCGGCTGTTGTTAGGCTTAATTCCTCGACTAGGCTCGCGCTCGCCCCCCCCCCCCCCCCCCCTCAAGCACACGCACACCGCCGACGTACGACATCGAAAAAGAGCCGTACCATCTGCATCGGGAAGCCCGATCCCATAGCGTGTTCACGGTATGTTGCGCGCTTTCTTGTTCTCGGTGCCCTGCTGGTGAAATTCGATGACTGCACGCAAGCTATATTTGTGCACTTCGGGACGTCGGCTAAGTTCAACCATCCCGTTGGTTACACCACTAGCGTACCGGCTTGTTTGGTAGTTCTGGGGAAGTTCCCACTTTTTTCGAAAGGACCACACCGGACAAAGTCGCGAATAGTGTGTGTGAACCAGAAACAAACAAGTGCTGCGGTATTCGTGCACGCTCTCTGCACACGCCTGGCAGTACCCCCCCTCTTCTCCTAGTAACAATCACACAACGAGGCATTAAATTACGCCTTCGCCTTTCTGGTATACTGTCTAGACTCCGCTCTTTTAGCCAAATGCCCATGAAGTACGGAGTAAAGTAAATTCCAGCTGCATTTATTCTTGCTTTGCTCTTACAGATCGTAATCACGTGCTCGCGTGCAGTACGAGGTTTTGTCTACGCTTTTTTTTTTTTCGGAGTCAATATTGAAAGCTGTTTCAATATCTCAAAAATTGAGGGAGCAACTTGAATATGACGAGACACGCTGCCCCCTGCCATTGTCTTCGACTGTTGCGAAGGGCAATCTTTTGAATGAATGACGAAGCTTGGTCCAATCACATTGAATTGCATGATGTCAAAAGACTCATAGCAGCAGTTTCACTGTCGCAGCACGAAGACCAGAATACACCCTACGATTAGTAGCTATTACTGTGAATAGCGTTGAAACAGATATGGTTGAAGTTATCTAGTCTAATCTGGTTGCTATGCATTGTCTGGTGCACTGGTTTGCATTTCTTCTGCCATGAGGTACTGCAACTTCAATCTTCAGTGATGTATTATACACACGCTTATAGTCGCTGTGATTCATCACGCTATCGATGTTTGAAGCTGGGTACAAGTCTGTAGAACAGTCACTCAGTTGCCGCCCCACGAGTAAATAGAAATCTAAGAGAACATGCCGCGGTCCTTTGTTCCTTGGCATCAGTGATGTTTAGCTCCCGAAATGTACTTCACCTGAAATTACTACAAAAACTTTTCTACTACGTAAAACAGTAGAAAAAACTATTCGCAATGAACGAGACTTTTTGATGGCCACCATCTTTATCAGGGAGCGCGAACTTCTTTGATCTGTAATTTTAATGGTTGAACATCTAACAATGCTCACTTCTGAGCAGAGGTTTCCCTCAAACTCAACTTTGACACTGCGATCACATTCCACACTGTTTAGCAGCGTCTATTCATGTCTTAGGTTGCATAACCGTAGTCATTTTCCCCCATAAACACTTCTGCAGTCCATTTGTTTTTACTTTAAATACAACTTTCTCAAAGATTGAGGTTCATTTGCTCTGTTTCTTTTAAGCACAGTGTAGTTACATGTTGAGAGCAGGTGATCCTGGTAATAACATCAATTCATTGTGGCCACCATTGCTCAGTGGAAACTTCAACCATGCGCTGGTTTACCTGAGAAGCTTGATTCTACCGAATGTGGGAAAACAGACATCACAATTACAGTTGGCATCTACGCACTGATCTTCTTGAAATTTTCGTTTTGATGAATAGACTGCGCACGAGCGTTGCACATGTTGCATGGTCTGGTTGACGTTTTGTGCAGCAGCTGCATTGCAGTCGAGAGATGCATGTCAGGTATGTGATAGGTTATGAAACAGCGTCTGGCAGTTCGCGACAGCAGCAGCACACGTGCTTCAGGCACTGGTGCCTAAAGTTGCTTGTTTAAAAAGGCACCTGTGTTGAGTTGGGGCCTGAGGTTTCTGTATGTAGTGGGTCTTCTAGTCCGCACTAGCTGATATCTGTGGCCATTTATCAGAGGGCTAACTCGGTGTTACGAAGTGAAATACTAAGTGTTTAATTGAAACTAGTAGAAGACCTTAGTGACTGTGTACAGTTGGCATACAAACTTGCTGAAGAACATAGCAGAGTAGGGCAAGTTGGTGGATGTTCATCGCAGAATGCTTTACATTGCAACGGGTAAGAAACAGACAGAGAAAGAACACAGCGCTGATTTGTTTTCCTCAAGTGGGGCACACATCTGCGTGATCTGCATCTGTTCTCGTCTGTAACTCGCGCTGTAAAATATTTTACGATGGGCATACAAACCTGGCTGGGCATAGTTTCTGCAGATTCAAATGTTTCCCGATCCTAAGTGGAGTGCATGGCTGTTATGCTATTTTTCTGAATGTTGAAACTGGACTGACAATTGGCTGCCCTTTGATACAACTAGTGCATCTTGCCATCTTACGACTGAGAATACTTGATGCGTTGTCAATAAACAGGGGGGGGGGGGGTATTCACAATTCAGGTGAATGAGCAGTGTTACAATTTAACTTGTTTCACAAGAGTGAAAGGTTCGGAGAAAATTGCTCCCAAGTACAATTATTACCTTCACTTGAAGGTGAACAATTGAAATAGATTAAGGTTTAGCCCTATGCTACAGCTTTCTCAGGATGTGGTCGTTGCAAGAACTGTGTGTGGGGCTGCTTGTGTCATTGCATTTCAAAAATATAACTGAGAAGCAAAGGTATTGTCATTTGTTAGCATCCAAACAAAGCTTCAAAAAAGATGGGTGTGGTATACACATTGCTCATCAACTGAAGCTCTAAAAGATGTGCGCGGAACACTTACATCAGCTGCAGAAGCCACAGCACTATACTGGCTCTGGCAGTGTCCATTCAGCGAAGCATGACGGTGCATTCTCTTGGCTTCGTGCCTTTTGCTTTTGCAGCCCATCACTGCATGCATTTCTAAAGGCCTTACATAAGTCGTGCTTAACATAAACCACTAAGAAGGGGGGGGGGGGGGATTGGTCAATGGCTCTGGTTGTTACACTGCTATACAAAGCTAAAGTAAAGCTTTATTTATAGCTTTTGATAGAAGTTTAGGAATCACATAATAAAGGGGAGATGAAATAAAGAGAAATAATGTTTTTTATATAGGGATACAAATTGGCAATGTCTTCATTTTTGTCGTGTGGTGTGCAGCTGATTGAGCTACTGTAGTACCCATTCCATCAGCCACTTTCCTTGGGTCTTGGTGTTATCGTATGAGTGTCAGCCAGTGCACCTGCAGCTATGGGAGCTAATGTGGAACTCTCTTCTTGCATATTGCATAGTGGTGTCACAAAACACACTGAGGACGTGCTTGCCATGGTGTAGCTATGTCCATCAAGTTGAGCCTCGCAGAATGTGGGAAATGAACTGGAAGAAGATGTTTGCATAGAAGAGAAATTGCCACAATTTTTATTTTTTATTGTCGCTATACTAACCTTGTTGGAGAAGGATAAATACTTTGTTCGTGGCTATTGCATGGCGAGGCATTGATGTGTACACTTTTATACTGTGCCAGCACAACAGCAACGAGGCCAGTGTTATCAGAACCTCATTCTCTATTGCCCTAAAGCTGCTTACTCAACCAACTGGACTGCTATATTTACATTAGTGTTAATGAAATACCAAACCGATTTTTCGTTAGAGCTTCATTTCTTGCTATCCATCTCATCTTTGACAGCATTGTAAAACAAGTTTGCAAAAAAAATTACAATCTGAAAAGCAGTTTTAGTACATGCATAGATTCACTGACAAAAAATTTTCTATCACTTTATCGTCATCACGGAAGCAGTCTTCATAGAGCAAGGTCACAGAGTGCAAGCCGACTCACTGCATTGCTGTGTATGCATCATTGTGTGTGTGGCATTGCGTGCCCATGGTGCACAGAAAGTATAAGTCAGTATCTTGGGAAAAATCTACAGGTTCAACATCTACTGTAATTATTTGCATAATAAACAGGAAGCTTGGCAGTGAATGGAATAATGCAAATTCGAAGCATTTAAAATGGGGAGTTTCAGAAATGAAAGTTAACTATGCAAACCTTGGCGTCCCCAAATTTGGTGATGATGTGTAGGTGATTGTTTTGTGTGGCTTGCAACAAATTGTTTGTCTTGGCTAACAAAGGTAAAAAATAGGTTGGCAGTTTCACATAACCCGGCTAAAGGACAACAGGTTTTCTACAGTATGAATGAAAACCTACTACTCTCTAGGCCAGTCGTCATTTGGTACCAGCACGAAATGAAAAAGTTCACAGAAGGGTAAAACAAAAGCTGAACGTGTGCTGAACGCCCTCATTTCCTGAATGTGACTGGAGCCTATTGGAAGAGAAAAAGTAATCACTCTAGTGAACTAATACAAGTGTTACCAGATTGTAAGTTTCATGTTTCCCATATTTTGTGGCTAAATATTTCTTTGTTCTACATTAAAACTTTATGATGTATGACAGGCATGGCCTAATGCATTAAAATCATATACTGAATTAATTTATTTCAAAATGTCTACATGTAGTCAACACCTTCAAAGTTGACCGCTAAGGAAATTAAGATTTCTAGCAACACTCAATAGACAGGAATAAATTGTTTGTGTCAATAGCACTCTCGAAAAACGATTTGTTCACTTTTTTCACTGTTCCTTTTTTTTTGGCCCCTTTTGCTTGGTCTACAGACTGCATTATGTACTAAATAAAAAAAGCAAACAAGACAGTTTCCTTGCTAAATTTTTTATGCCTTATAAAGCTTGGCACAATATTTGTGATGCATACCCATTTTCAAAGCTCCAATATCC